TGCCCTTTTGGAGGAGGGATGGAGGGTGGGTTAGGATGGGAGGGCTGGGGGAGAGCAGAAGGACGGATGAATAGGGTGTCTGTGGTTAGTATGTAAAATGAATAAGACATTTCTTAAATAAAATAAGGGAAAAATAATCTAGATAATCTCCCACTACAGAAAGAAGTTAATCAAAAAATAAAAATAAATAAATAAACAAAAAGATTGAATTTTCATGTTATATTAGCTATGAGGTTAAAATAGCTTACTGATTTAATATACAAAAAGTTTACAGACGCTTCAAATCGATTATATATATATATATAAATATATATATATATATATATATATGTGTGTGTGTGTGTGTGTGTGTGTGTGTGTGTGTGTGTGTGTCTTTAGTAAAGGATGGAATTATACATGTCAGTCATTCTTTATAAAGTTTAAAAACAAAAGAAAGTAAATACCTACACATAAAAAGAGAAGGAAGTAACAGAGCATGACATCATATCTTGAAATTAGTTCCTGAGAACAGGTATATCAATGAGTGACAGTAATTCAAGGAAACAATATTTAGTAGATATATAGAAATAAGTTTTATTCTAATAAATCAGATTAGATTATCTGTTAATTTTTTCAACAAAATAAAATTCAAAGTCTGGTTATAAGTTTTTAAAATGCACCCAAAAAATGAAAGTGAAAATCTGGCATGCATAAATCAGTGTTCATGTACTTCAAATTCAAGAGGAACTTTACAAATTTTCAAGAGGAGAATATAATAACAGTGTTTTATTTCACACCTTAAAACTGTTTCAATAGGTCTGACCTTTCCCCAATAAGAATAAGAACAGTTATTTGTGAACTATTCAAGCATTTAGCAATGTAGTAATGCCTATTCATTAAAGCCTCAACAGAGAATAGTCAAAGTATTTTATAAAGATAAGAAAATTAGAAACTCATGCTTAAAAACACCATTTTATGAAAATAATTTCAAAGTGTTTTGCAGTATTCATATGTCCAATTCATAATGTGAATATAACTTATTATGTGGTATCAGAAATTAAGTAGGTTTAGGTATTGCAATTCAATATATATATATATATATATATATATATATATATATATATATATAGTTATTTTACAATACCATTCAGTTCTACATATCAGCCATGGGTTCCCCTATTCTCCCCCTTCCCACAACATCCCCTTGCCCCCAGCCTACCTCCCATTCCCACCTCCTCCAGGCAAAGTCCTCCCCCGAGGACTACCTGGTAGACTCAGTCTTTTAATGACTTCCAAAAGAGTTGCACCAATAGCACAAGTGGCAGCAAAAGTTTATAAGAGATAAAAGGTGTAAGGTGTGTTAGGTTTATATCCCTATAAAGAAGATGAGTTGTATGAGAATCTGTTGGAAATTGATGAATACTACCAAAAGGGGAACATCACTTTTCTTTAACATTATGAACTCTGAAATGTTACGGATATTTAAGTAAGTGCCCCCACAGCATGTATATATTA